CAGTTAGTGGAATAAAACTTTGTCATGAAGGGCAATAGAAGCTGAGCCTCCTTTAAATCTACTTTAAATTGATTCAGTTGCTCACAGAATATAGTTAATAAAATATATGTGCTATCATTTCCCCTCCCTTTTCAAATTTAAATATGTTTTACTTAGTATATAGGAAGGCAGTGCCCTGTTCATTAGAAAAATCCATGACAGAGCAAACTTTTCTGGAGTTTCTCACCCTGGGCCCAGTGGTCAAATCAAAAGAAAGGAGTGAAGTGGATACCCCCATCTCTTATCCCTCAAAAGCAAAACTACCTGCCAGGAAATGTCACCAAAATGCTCTTCAGAGTTGGAAGGAGCTGTGGTTATGACACATGTTCCTAAAGGTCCAGTGGCAGGCATGGCGGAATAATGGAACAAACATATGCTTTATCTGGATACACATGCACAGATCCATATATTGCAAGTTCTAGCTCTGCTTCTTACTAGCAGTGTGGATTCAAACACGTTGGTTGCATTGCACATGAGTGTGGATATATTATCTTTGTGTATGTATGTATGTGTGTGTGTGCAAATACACATGTGTACGTATGTGTGTGCAGAGGCCAGAGGTCAATATCTGGTGTCCTCCTCAATCACTTCTCCACCTTTATTTTTTTAATTTTTAATTTATTTTTATGTGTATGAGTGTTTTGCCTGCATGTATGTAAATGCAGCCATTGTCATACAATGCTCTGAGAGGCCAGAAGGGGGTGTCAGATCCCCTAGAACTGGAGTTAAGGATGGTTGTTAGCCACCATATGGGTGCTGAGAGCCAAACCTGGATCCTCTGCAAGAGCAGCCAGTGATCTTAAACATCTCTCCAGTCCCTCCACCTTTATTTTTTGAGACAGGTTCTTTCTCTAAACCTAGAGCTCACAGATTTGAGTGCAGTAGCCAGCAAGCCCCCAGAACTTCTCCTGCGTCCATCTTTCCAGCACTGAGACAAATACCACCACACCCAACTTTTGCCCAGCATTTTTTAGTTAACCACTTTAAAACTTTTATTTATTTTTATTGTAAGTGTATGAGTATTTTTGCCAGTATGTATGTAAGCACACCCATGTGTGCAATGCCTGTGGTGGCCAAAAGAGCACATCAGATCCCCTGGAACTGTAGTTACAGACAATTGTTAGTTGCCATGTGGGTGCTAGGAACCAAACCCAGGTCCTCTACAAAAGCAGCCACGTGCTCTTAATCACTGAACTGTCTCTCCAGCCTGTGTCTTTTTTTTGTTTGTTTGTTTCATGTCCAGTTTTTTTACATGTGTGCTGGGGATTCAAACTCAGACCCTCATTTTTGTTCAGCAAGTACTTTACCAGCTGAGCTATTTCCTTAGCCCCTGAATATATATCTTAAACCTCACCACAACCCAGTAAGATGACAGTCTTTATTGCCACTTTACAAATGAGAAAAGTGAAGCTGAGAAAGGTTAAAAACACCAGATAAGATCTCAGTACAAGCTAGGAACTGGATCTATCTGACTCCAAGACCATTGCCGTCTCTGTTGCATCCTATTATCTATTGTCCCATGTTCCCCAGTTTTGTATAACCTCCCTGAACTGTTTCTCTAGGTCTCCTATACAAATTGAAAAGTAAATTTGGATTCCTCAAATATGACATAGCAGAATGAAGGTAAAATACACCAACACTGACCAGAGATGAAAAGTTACTTCATGTAACGCACAGAGAAGATAGACAAAAGAACTTGAATGTGCAGGTTACCCACGCTTTACCGTATTTCCAGGCCTTTTTTTTTTCAAATCAGTGATTGGTGATTTAATCATGATAATGTAGCAAAATGTCTTCTATAAGGAAAATATTGGTTGGCAGATGTAACCAGTGCTACTTCCTGACATGGCTCCTGGAAGTGTTCTTGTTAATTAGCTGTATGAATGTGAGTCAGGCTCCTGACTTTTCTGGACCCCTTTTCCTAGTTTGTAGGGTTGTTATGGAAATGAAATTCCTAAGCAGAAAGCACTTAGCAGTGTACAGCCTGTGCTGTATACATGTAAAGTAAACAAGTTTTATCCTCACCCAGTGTGGACTACATTGTCTTTTGCAGAATTCTGGCCAGAGCAGCTCAGCTTTAGTCTTAGCTAGGCAGATGTGGCCATTTTCTTTTTTGTGCATTGATTTTTGAGAACAAAGACCCTGACCTTCCATTTGCCTTTGCCTTTTTGACTCTTTGACTCTTCTAGGCAGCCACAGAAACAACTCCATCCAGAGGGTACCTTACTGTCAACTGGGTATAGCACATAGTTTTGCATGGGTGCTAGCCACACAGCCCAGAATAGAGTCTTACTTCTCTTCCATCCAAGTTGCCCTCCAAGGACATGGATCTCCTCTGAATCCTGCAGATCTCACCAGGCTTTCTTCATTGGCTACAGGCCTCTCTTTTCAGCCTCCCATCACTGAAATTTGTGAACTCACCAAGGCAAGTCCTTAAAGTTTTTACACGTCAGAATCACTTGGTGAGCTTGTGGAAAATACCCATTTCCAGGGTTCTGTGGGTAAAGAAAGACACATGCTGCCAAGTTTGATGAACTGAGTTTGATCCCTGGGACCCATGTGGTGAAAGGAGATAAATGACTCCTGCCAGCAGTCCTGATCTCTACACATGTGCTGTGGCCTAAGTGCACATGTGTACATGCACACACATACACATACATAAACACAAATAAATAAATAAACAAATAAAAAAACATAATTTTAAAATACCCATTTTGAGGCCTGGTTCCAGACTTAATGAACCAGTGTGGTTCACATTCCCAGTGTGATAGCTGGGAATCTTTATGAGAAACTCCTGCTCTCTTACTGATATTCAGAAACAAAAAGAGAAAGGACACGAGCAGGAGAGGAGAGGGTCAAGGGAAGGTAATGGGGATGGCGATGAATAGGAGCTAAGTATAATGATATACGTGTAGAAAATGACTTAATAAAGCCTGTTGGGGCTGGAGAGATGGCTCAGCGGTTAAGAACACTGTTCTTGCAGAAGACCCAGGTTCGAATCCCAGCACCCACATGGCAGCTAACAACTGTCTGTAACTCCAGTTCCAGGCGATCTGACAGTCTCTTCTGTCCTCCTCGGGCATTGCACGACATGGGTGTACTTACCTGCATGCAGGCAATACATGTATACACATAAAATTTAAAAATTATAAAAAAAGCCTGTTATGCCTGGTGTGGTGGTGCACGCCTTTAATCCCAGCACTTGAGAGTCAGAGGCAGGTGGATCTCTGTGAGTTCAAGGCCAGCCTGGTCTACATAGTGAATTCCAGGACAGCTGGGGCTAACAGGGAGACCCTGTTTTAAAAGGACAAAATAAAAAGCCTGTTATTTTGTATATTAACAAAAATTAATTAATAAAAATGAATAAAACAAAAAAATTTAAGTAAACAAAACTCAGCCCTCTTCTTTATGTGCTTTTGACACATTAAACCCCACTTTTAGGGATCAATGATTTTTGGCTTATCTCCCTTCAAGTGCAGATATTTTAGGGAAATCTATCAGTGACACATTATGTATCTCTAATCAGTTTGTTTTTTGAAACAAGGTCCATATGTGCCTCAGACTGGCCTTGAACTCATAATCTTCTTACCTCTACCTTCTGAATGCCACCATGCCTGGTTTCCTGGTCAGTCTTATAGAGAACAATAGTAACTTCTCTGGATTTTGATTATTTACTTCAGAATGGGAAAGGAGACACCAGAAGGGAAGTTTGCCCTCCCTCTATGCTGGCCTCATGCCTAACTTCATGCTCCAGTTCTTCTGGGCAGTGTCTTATAGCTGCTCCTAACCACAGACATTCTTGGCTCTATAACTATGCCTTTGAAGACTAAGCACTACAGTTGTATGTGTGTGCATGCGTGCATGCGTGAGTGTGTGTATGTGTGTGTGTGTATTCGGTTTCTGGCATTAGACAGACAAACACTGTTCTAGATGCAACAGATTTATATAATATGTCATTGTTTTTCCTCTCCAAAAAAGAAAAAAGCAGTTACAATGTGAAGGGAAGACGGGGAACAGGTTACAAGATTGATGATCCTCCTCTGAAAAGATGTGTCTATGTTGGTCTGCCACAATCTCAGACTCTGTCCTCAGCTGCCTTCCACCTGACATCTTTGCTCACTCGGAAAGCATGGCAGCAGTCCTTCCAGCCACAAGCTCAGAGTTCTGCTTTCCCAGAGGCTCTTGCAGATGTCCATTCACATGATGCTTTGGCTCAACAAGCTCTACAGGCAGCTCAACTTCCCTAGTAACTTAACACACATTGCCCTGACAACTGCTATTATCCAACCTAAGCTAAAGTCCTGGTGGAGGTTTGTCCTGGGATGAGTGCTGTCTTCCTGAGTGTAGGTTGACTTCTTTGCTGGTGTGAATAAACACTTCCATCCCCAGAGTGGCTGGAGGCAGGGGCTGAATGGCAAGGATAGTGTTGTTGAGACACTCATGAACAGGATGTGTTGAAATCCTTGGTGGTATGTTGGGCATAGTGGTGCACACCTATAATCCCAGCACTCTGAGAGGCTAAGGATTAGAACTTCAAGGGCAGCCTGGGCTACATGGGGTTGGGCTTGGGCATAATTCTATGGCGTTTCTGGATGTGAAATTTCAGAAAGAATTTCTGCCAAGCAGAGTTTTTATGCTTCCAGGGCTGTTGGAGTGTGTTGGCTCACTCTGGCAAGCTTCCAGAGGACTTTCTGGATCCATTCCTCTGTAGAGTCCTCTCTGAAACTGATCTTGAACTTCTCTGCAGCAGATGACACCCTTGATCTTGCCCTCTCAAAGCAGAATCTGAATTACTCTTCTAAAGGCCAGAGGAGTTCTAAAGACATTTTGTGTTCTAATAGATAATTTCCATCTCCACTAATAATCGAGCCAACTCTGCAAAAGAAATGAGAAGGATTTTTAAAGCAAAGGAAAAATTTTGCTGTGGAGTCATACAATATGGATTCACATTACTCATACACTCAAGTGTTTGTTTTACCTGGGGTTCACTGTGTCACGCTGCATTTCTCTTCCCTCGGTAAATAACTGCAAGACCCAAGGAAAGGGACAAGCACAAGATGCATTAAATGTGCAGACATTTTCTTAAGCACTGAGATTTTTACCAGTGTTACTGTTTGAAATGCTATTTTTGCAGGACTTCACAGCAAGAAAGGAGGAAAATGAGATGCTGAACTGTTCAAACTGACCAGTGGTTTCTGATTAACCAGGGTGATTATGCTCCTGTTTCATGAAATGAATCCTCCCATAGAGTCTCTCTGAGCCCAGACTACTGACTCTGGACCAGGAACTTTCACTCCCAGGCCAACTTGCTGTGTCCCTCAGCAAGTTCCATTTTATTTATTCAGGAATGTGGGTAAGGGGAACATAAACCTGTTCAACTGCTGAGTATGTTATTAAGAGGAAACTCCTCAACATTTGAACCAGGTAGGGTACGTGACACTGAATCAGGCTGAATACTGAAGGCAAAGGATGCCTCACTGAATGTTATTCACAAATCCTCTGTCACTTCTCTCTTCCAACTGGCATCAAATTTCCAGCATCAAAGTAGCTTTTCTGAGTTGGAGCCATGGTTTCAAACTTTAGGCTACATCAGAATTACTCTGATGGGCTTGTTAAAGAAAAGTGGTTGGGCCCAGCCCTAAGGTTCCCAGATAACAGTATTGCTGTTGGCTCCAACAACACTTTGAAAAACCAATAAATTAAAGTATTATGAGGACTAAGGTTAAAATGTAAATATGTTAGAAGTGGCACATTAAAATGTTAATATCTAGATTGTAATGTAGAATTATGAGACTAAGTAGATCCTGAATTAATAACTACCTCTTACTAATTACTTATTATAGGCCTATCATGTCCAATTAATTACATTTCATTTAATCCTCATTATGTTTTATGAAGTGATTGTTACTTCAATTTTAAGATGAGGAAAACTAGGCTTAGGTTAGAGAGAATTGAGGTAACTTATTTTATTTTATTTTACTTTTTTTTTTTTGACAGATGATCTCCCTATACAGCTGGCCTGGAACTTGCTATATAGACCATGCTGGCCTCAAAATTAGAGATCTACCTACCCCTGTCTCCTGAGTGTTAGATTAAAGGCGTGCAGAATTGAGATAATTTGACTAAGAGTGTGGGATTTGAATCTAAATCTTTCTCTTAGAAAGTCAATTTAGGCAGGTGTAGTAATACATACCTTTAATCCCAGCACTCAGGAGGCAGAGGCAGGCAAATCTCTGTGAGTTCAAGACCAGCCTGGTCTACATAGTGA